CGCGTGTTTGCAGTGAACAGAGAGCAGTGCGAGACTTCGGGAAAGTTCTTCTGTTCGGACGGACTTTGTCTCGACCGTGGATTGCGATGCGACGCGAGGAACGACTGCGCAGACGCGGAGGACGAACGCGGATGCCGTGAGTAGTGGTGAGAGAGTGCGGACCGGAAGTGACTTTGTTTTCTCTCAGACAACGAGAGCGCGTGCGCCGACGGCTTCCTGTGCGCGAACGGCGCGTGCGTCGACGGATGGCGCGCGTGCGACGGACGCGACGACTGCGGCGATTGGAGCGACGAGTTCTCGTGCGGTCAGTATTGTCAGTATTGGTCGTCTCCATAGTAACGCCTTTTGCGTGTTTGCAGTGAAGAGCGACGCGAAAGGAGTTCCGCTTTTCCGCCGAAACGACACTTGGAGTCCGTTATGCGTCCGAGAGTTCGGTTCGCAAGACGCCGACGCCATCTGTCGGCAGTTCGGACTCTCGAAGGCCGAGAACTGGACTCTCGTTTCGGGCGTTCGGCCGAAAAGCGGTTTTTGGGCGCGAATTGACGGCAAAGACGTCGCTCTTGAGGACAGCTGTGCTTCAAATCAAACCGTTTCCGTCTTTTGCCAACACTTCCGGTGCGGAGAGAGTGCGCAGAACGAGTCGTCTTCCGTTCCCGATTCGGTGCGCGTTTTCGATACGAGAGGGCGCGAGTGTTGGGCGCAATCCGTGGCCTCCGAGTGGCTATTGTTGAGCGCGCAGTGCTTTCGGTCAGAATTCGCGCGAATTTCTCCGCTTTTCCTCTGATTTCCGTTTCCTTTCTTCAGAACTCTTTCGCAGAATTTGTCGGAAATCCTAATCGAAAACAAGACGGGAATCGCGAGACAGGCCTTCTCTCACTTCCGGTTCTCGCACTTCCGGAGCTTTTCCTCTGATTTCCGTTTCCTTTCTTCAGAACTCTTTCGCAGAATTTGTCGGAAATCCTAATCGAAAACAAGACGGGAATCGCGAGACAGGCCTTCTCTCACTTCCGGTTCTCGCACTTCCGGTCCCTTCGAGTGCCGCAATACGACGTGGCGTTCGTTCGCTCCGAACAGCCCTTCGCTTCCGCTTCCGTCGCGTGTCTGCCCTCCCATTCGATGGACGCGTCGATCACGTGTTTCGCCGCCGACGACACGCCCTTTCAAGTGCTCGAGACGCGCGTCTGCAACGAAACGCGACATTTGAATGGCGCGCTCTCGACGTCGCACTTCTGCGCGCAACGCAACGGTCAACGCGCAGGCGCCGGAAGATGCGCTCTGAGAGGGCGGCCGTTGATGTGTTTGTCGGCCGACAGCGCGTGGTATTTGTCGGGCTTCTCGTCCTTCGAGTACGGCTGTAACGGAACGGCGTTCGGAGGCTATGAATACACTTCTCATCCGACGGTCTTTTCCAACGTCTTCGCCGTCAAAGCGATGGTCGAAAAGGCGATCGGATTCGCGGACTATCGCAGTCTCGTGGCCGACGTCTGGACACAGGAAATGACGTCACAAGCGATCAGTCTTTTAGCCAACGATTCGTTAATTGTTTCTTAGATTTAATAAACTTTTGTTACGTTTGTAATGAAAATCCTTTTTTGGGAAACACTTCAAAGTCACGGCTTTTCAATCAATTATCGACAGATTTTCCCAAAAAAAACACAAAAAAATCCCAAAAATGTCATCAAAAAGCGCTTCAAACGAAGTTTCGTTGCTTTCAGTCTATTCTGCGATAAAATAATCACAAAATTCGCCAGAAATGAAAGTTTTGCTCTTTTTTCTTGTTTTCAACGCTTTTCTCTTTGCTTTCAATGAAAGCGTCGCCGAAGAAGAAGACGAAGAATACGCCGAAGAGGGGGACGATGGGCCGGAAGACGACATTCCCGTCGATCGCGTGATATCTCTGGAACCGCTGCAGACTCTTGTGGACCGCTTGTGGTCTTCGGAGGCGCGGAAAGCGAACGGAAGTGTGGAATCTCTTGAAAGACTTCATTTCCTGTTCTCTCAGTCTTTGGACGCGATTTTCAGAACTCTTTTGCCTTTCGTTTCGGAAAACATTTTACAAGTATTTCGCGATTGTTGTCGCGCTCTCTCTAATGGACGCCATTTTCTCCGCAGACAAACCTCTCGTCCGCGTGTTTGCGAACATTGTTGCGAATGAGTCAAGACTTCAGACAACAGAAGGAATACGTCTTCAGATGTGAGACAAAAGCCTTCGAAGTCTTCAAAACACTTACTCTTCTTCTGCGCAGTCGTCGACGCGTCCGCGCGCTTCCCCTTCTCGGGCCTTCTCGACGGAACGATCGCCGACTTCGGCGAATACGACGAGTGTCTCGCCATAGAGCACCGGGAGGTCGACTTCGCGGTCAGCGGACAGTACTGTTTGGCGTCTGTCGCGCTCCCGATGCCGGCCCTCCCGCCGCGCCTGCACTTCCACGCGCCCGTCCTTCCGCTCGGCAACGATTCCGCGCTTCGGAACACCTTTTGGGCGGTTGTGGCGAAAAACGCGAATCTCTTCTACATTTCGCGCGGACTGCGTCTCGCGCTCTGCGTTCCCGACAGTTGTCACAAACAGGAAATCCAAACTCTTTTGGCGTCGCGTGAGTTCTCTCTCTCTCTCTCTTCGCTTCCGTTTCCCATTTCTCTCTCTCTCTCTCGCAGTCTTTCGCGAGACTCTCGGACTCCACTTCTCCATTGGCCACGACTGCCAAACACGTGACTCGAGGACTCCGCTGACGTCAGCGCAGATCGCGTCCATGTGAGTGACACTCCATACGCGCTCAAACGTTCGCTTCTCTCACGCCTTCCGCCCAATAGTGTCGTCCTCTCCGTCGTCACGGTCGTCGTCTTCGTCGCCACTTTCGCCGACGTCGTCCTCCACAGCGCCCACACACTCGTCACGTGCTTCTCCGTGCGCCAAAACGCGCGCAAACTCTTCCTCTCGTCCACAACCACTTCGCGTCTCTCCGCCATCCACGGCCTGCGCGTCCTGTCGATCGCGTGGATTCTCGTCGGTCACGTGTACTTAATGCAGTTCTTTCAGGTCTTTCACGTTCTGCGCAGAAGCGTCGAGGAAATGCCGCGTCTCGCGCTCCTCCGCTACCAACCCCTCAAATTGGGATCTTTTCTTCAGGTCGAGACCTTCCTCTTCCTCGGGTTCGTCCAAATGTCTCGCTTTGTCCGCCGCTAACGACTTTCGCCCGCAGAGGAGTCACCGCCTCTTTCGTCACTCTGGAGGTGACGTCACGCCGGAAGCGACCCTTCGATTGGTTCGCGTTTCTCGTCTTCCGATGGCTGCGCTATACGCCCGCTCTGGTCGGACTCCTGCTCCTCTACTTCCTGCTCCCGTTGTGCGCTTCCGGTCCAATCTTCGCGCCCAATATCCACTCCATGTACGCCCCCTGCGAGCGCTTCTTCTGGCGAAACCTTCTTTACGTCAATAACTTCTACGACAATACCGGAAATGTATTTCTTTTCTCTCACTTCCGCTCTAATAGTCTTTCCCCGAAAACAGTGCGCGACTCACACGTGGTATTTGGCCGTTGACTTCCAGCTCTACGCCGTCTCCCCATTGGCCATCTTCGCCTTCAAGCGCCGCCCCCTTTTCGGCGTCATTCTCACTCTCCTATTGGTCGCGAGTGGAGCCCTCCTCGCACTCCTGCCACCCCTCCTCTCCCCCAACACTCTGCCCGCCATGTACTCCATGGACACCATTCTCTCGGACGACGCCATTTCCCATCACTTCCGTCTCGTGAGTCGAACTCAAACCGCCGAATGTCTGTCCACTAAAACTACTTTCAGTTGTATTGGGGGGCGTGGCAACACGTGTCGCCGTACTTTATGGGCGTTCTCGTAGGATTCGTCGCGCACTCGAAGCCCCGCCTCCGCATTCCCGCCCCTCTCAACGCCCTGTTGTGGTGCGCGTGCGCCGCCTCCGCCCTCTTGACCGTCTTCTGGACGACGGATTGGATGGACTCGACGGCCGCCGAGGAGACGCCGTCTCGCGCGCAACGCCTCCTCTTCACGGCCACCCATAAGATCACGTGGACTGTGTTTCCCGCGTGGATCGTCGTCACGACGGCTCTGGGCCAACCAGGTGAAGCTCTGCTGTCCGAATGAATGAAATGCTAACCACCCGCTCCCCCTCCCCCCGCAGGACCCGTCGGCCGCTTCCTGTCCTCCCATTGGTTCGTTCCGCTCTCGCGCCTCACTTACTGTCTATATTTGGTGCAATTGATTCCCATTGTTTTGAGCGCGTATTCCGTGCGTTACGTCACGCCTTTCGACGACTTCGCGAACGTGAGTCCAAAAGCGCTGTAATCCTTCGCTAATTCTCCTCTCCCCCGCCCCCCCTCTCCCCCAGTGGTCCAAAGCCTCGTTTTGTTTATTGCTTTCGCTTTCGTTGGCTTTCATTCTCTTCGTGTGCTTCGAATCGCCTTTCAATCAGTTGTTGAACACAACAATCAAAGCGCGCGACGAAACGCATAACAATCATAAGTGACGCGCGATCTCACAATTAGGAGTCAACGGCGCGCGACAACAAAACAAATCTTCGATTTTTCCCAAAAAATAATTTCTCTTTTGTTTCGCTAATTGTCCGCAAATTTCGCGCAATTTTTACGCAAATTTCGCCAAAAAAGCGATAATTAATGCAAAAGTTCTCATAATTAACGAAATAAAGCCGTAAATCAAATGTTTTTAATTATCGCGAGAGAAACGCGACTTTATTTGCCTTTTGATGCGATTTATAACAAGTCTTATGTAACGGTCAGAGAGGGGCTGCCATTGGAGGGGACGGCAGTCGAGAACGTGAACAACAATTGAGGAAAAGTTTGAATTTGTGTTCATTTCGTCTCAAATTATTCGTAATTTCTTTCAACAATTCGGACAACGATTTCACGACTGAAAGCAAGAGTGCGCGCAAACAATGGCATTGAGAGCAGTGGTATAAAGAGCGAGGTTTTGGCGAAAAGCGCGCAAACAATGGACTCTTTCGACGACGACTCTCACGAGCGCTTTCTCTCCGGCGAACAAATCGGCGGTCCGTTCGCGCGAATCGTCGAACAGCCCGCCAAATGCGGCGTCCGTTTCCGGTATGAGTGCGAGGGACGCATTTCCGGCGCCATTCCCGGGCAGAACTCCACGACTCTGAGGCCCACTTTTCCGACCATTAAACTCTTCAATTACAGCGGAAGAGCCAAAGTCGTCGTCTCGTGCGTCACCAAAAGTAGGTCCCGAAGAGTTGTCTGTTTGCCTGTTCTCACCCCCCCCTTCCCCCAGACCCGCCCTTCCGTCCGCATCCGCACAATTTGGTCGGCAAGAAGTCATGCAAAGACGGCGTCTGTCAACTCGTCTTTTGCGACGGAATTTGCGTTTTCAATAATCTCGGCATTTTGTGCGCCAAACGCAAGGATATCCGCGAGCGTCTGCGCGTGCGCGAACACCTCCGCTGCGACCCCTTCCGCACGGGTTTCGGCCACAAGTCGCAGGCCTTCAAGATCATCGACTTGGCGGTCATTCGGCTGTGCTTTCAAGTGTTCCTCGAAGGCCCCCAAGAAGGCCAGTTCGACGTCCCGTTGGATCCGCTCGTTTCGGACCCCATTTTCGACAAGAAGGCGATGTCTGAGCTCTCGATCGCCAAACTGTCGCACTATTCGGCGCCCGCGAGCGGCGGCCAAGAGATCATCCTTTTGTGCGACCGCGTCATCAAAGACGACATTCAGATCCGCTTCTTCGAGGAGCGCGAAGACGCCGTCTATTGGGAGGCGTTCGCCGACTTCAAAGCCAGGTATGCGACTATAGGACGCCTAAAAGAGTGTCTAATAATACCTATTATTCCGCAGCGATATTCACAAGCATTTCGCCATTTCCTTCCGTTCGCCGAAATACTGCGACGTTTCCATAGCGACGCCCGTCGCCGTCAACGTCGAGTTGAGGCGTCCGTCAGATGGCGGCACTTCCGAGTCCCTCCCCTTCTATCTGTTGCCGCGCGCCCCTCAAGACCCGCGACAGCGCCGCAAACGGGGGACGCCGCCCGCCATCGCGTGTCCAGTCGTGTGTCACGAGGAGTACAACGTGTTGCCGACGATAACGACAACAGAGACGACGGCAATGGACTTCGATTTCGACATGAATTGCATTCAATTGGACGCAAACGAGTTGACGGCGTGTCACGAGTTGTGGGCAGTGGGCGGCGCCTCCGAAGGCCAACTGCTGGACATCTCGGAGTCGCGCGCCAACTGCTGGCCGTCGAGCGAAGAGTTCGGAAAGACGTTCGCGTGTCTCGTGTGACGTCACGCGTGAGTGACGCCTCGAGCGTGAGAGACACTCGTTGTGTGCAGTAATTGGTGTGAGAATTGGTTTCATTAAAGAGAGAATTGTTGTCACGCTTTAAAAGATTTGAATTTAATGTACAAAACAGTCAGTTATGGTAACAATGCTTGAGTGGCGCGCTCTAACTCCCAGTTGTTGGACGAGAGCGCCACCAGAGCCTTGTGTTCGTCGATTCGCATCACTTCTTGCAGTCTTCGGATCTTTCGGTCGAACTCTTCGAATGGCGCCGACGCAGAGCACTGGCGTCCGAACGCGTAGATGTACGTCCAGTGGCGCGCCGTCTGCCGGAACAGCTCGGGGTTCTCTTTGTACTGCTTCGCCACCACCGCGTCCTGCGGGTCGTCCGCCTCCGCCGCTGCGCACAGAGAGAGAGAGTTAGATACAGTTAGACAGGAAACACGCCTACCGGCGAGCAGCGCCTGGAGGGACAGGAGCACAGTCCTGATGGTCATGGCGGCCGCCCATTGGTCCTTCAGGATGTCGAGACAGATAGCGCCCGTCACGGATGAGATGTTCGGGTGCCATATCTTCGTCACGAACCGCACTTTCGGCGGATTGAAGGGATAGGTCTCCGGCACTGGAAGGCGAAAGGCGAAAGTCAGTCGTGCTCTCTCCGCACCCCTCCCCCTCCCCCTCCCTTACCCTTGATCTCGAGATGGAAGACGCCGCCGTCGTAGGGCGTGTCCGGCGGTCCAGTGATGCGTCCGCGGAGTTCGAGCAGAGAGTTGTTGACGAGTTCGATGGCTATCAGACTCTTCGCCACTTCGTCCGATTTGACCACTTCTTGGAACTCGCGTTGAATGCGTTGCGACGCTATGTTCGCCATTCCGTCCGTCGGCTCACTATCACTGCGTCTGAAGTAAGACAACACACGAACCAACAGTTTGTTTACACATCTGTCCGCAAATTACGTCGCAGAGGAGTCGCCGCCCGCCTCTCCCCAGCAAACACCCGCCCACACCAGCCGACCCCTGTCTGCCCCCACCCCCGCCCACTGTCCACCCGCACCCCGCCGCCAACCCCTTCCACGCACGCCTTCCCTGTCCTCCGAGAAGGCGGACGTCATTGATGGACGCCTTCTGGCCGTTGACACAAATGGCAGACAAATGAATGTTTGAGTGAAATGTCTTTGACTTTGTTGTCGTCTTTGGTGTCACTTCTGTGGCTCCAACTCGTGCTCCTCGTCTTCAGACAAGTCATCGACTTCTGTGGCGTTCAATGGCTTATGATTTTCGTTAACTTTCTCTCCATTTTGGTCTCCATTTCCGCTCTCTTTCACTACTTTTTGTTTTACTTTTGTTTTCAGTTTTTTCTCATTTTTTACAATTTGTTTGTGATTTGTGTTTATCTTCGAGTGATTCCCAAAGACTATCAGCACTTCCTCTCTCTCGACGCCAATTCGAAGTCGTTTTTCCATCACTTACTCCAAAACCACTTCTCTTTCGGCGAAAAACAATTAGAAAATTGCGTCCAAAGTATTGAATGCTTTCAAGCGTTCATTCATTTACTTCTCATTGCTTTCATTGAAACCCTTTTTGTCATTCATTTGCGAAGAATTCGCCGAAAACTGAAACAACAAAACGACAAAAGTTTGTCTCGAATTTCGCGCCTTTCCCCCAATAATTGACCCCAACTTCTCTCTTTCTCGCCCTCAGCCACACCCCCTCTGCCGCCCTACACCATCAGTCCCATCAACAACGCCTTCCTCACGACTGCCGGCAGTCCTCCCGCGTCCGCGCGCTCTTCGATGCGAAGACAGACTTCGAAGCGGCGCTCAAAACGGCGCCAATCGTCGCAAAGGAGACGCAAACTCATAACGAGTGCCGCCTATTATTCAGACTCGGAGACCGACTTCTATGGCGTCACGAACCGCTCATTCGTCTCGCAGTCGCCGTCAGCCGCCGTCGGGAACCCTCTGTACGCCTCCCCGCGCCTCCCTTACGGCTACCACACGAACGAGACGCGAATCTGACCCAAAAATGATCTCATTTTGTATTTTATTATAACTTTAATTAAAATAAACTGAAATTAAATATGGAATTAACGGAAAGCCCGCAAAACGCCTCAACACTGACACGAGTCGCGCCCCCCCTCTCCGCGCCCGCCACCCCCGCCGCCGCCCAACTGCTGGCCGGAGAGCACGGGATTGGGTTTGTGTTGAACTCCGGATTCGGCGGCGTTGAGGTCGAGAGAGCCGTCCTGGATGTTCTGAAAGATGCGTTTCGCGGTCTCGAGGAACGCCTCCTCCACGCCGTCGCCCGTCTTGGCGGATGTCTCGAGAAACGTGAGTCCGTTCTCGTCAGCGAACGCCTTCGCCTCGTCGTACGTGACGTCACGCTGACCGTCGAGATCGCACTTATTGCCGATCAGGAAGATGACTGTGTTTGGGTTCGTCAGGTTTCGCGCGTCCGTCAGCCACGACGACAAGTGGTTGTAAGTGGAGCGCCGACTGCGGGGAGGGAGGGGTCAGAGAGTGTACGAGAATAGCCGAGTGCTTACGTCATGTCGTAGACCATGAGCGCGCCGGCAGCGCCGCGGTAGTAGCTGCGGGTGACGGCGCGGAAGCGTTCCTGCGGGCAGAGGGAGTCAGTGGAGAGTTGGTAAGTGTTGACAATACCTGTCCGGCGGTGTCCCAGATCTGGAGTTTGATCTTTTGTCCGCAGACCTCAATAATACGCGTACCGAACTCGACGCCAATCCTGGAAAGAGGGGAATGAGAGGGCGGATAGAGAGGGGAACGGGACGCGACTCACGTGTGCGGACAGTCGGCCATAACTGCGGCAAAAGAGGGATTAGAGAGAGTTTAGAGGCGTTTCCTTCGCTTACACTTCTTTTCGGTGAACTGATGCAGAAGACAACTCTTGCCGACTCCCATGTCGCCGATGATGATGTACTTGAAGATATAGGAGTAGTTGTATGGACCGGAAGCGGACGCCATCGCGGAAGAGCTCTTCAGTGGTCTCTGAGTCGCGAAACTCAACAAATGTCTGACACTTTCGACGACACAAACGACGCAAAAGCGACACAAATGACGTCTTTTATTGTATTTACAAAACATTTTACAAAACGGTTTCGAGTTTTCGGTATTTCTTGCGCTTAACGGAAACCGCGTCCCGAAAGAGGAGCGGATCGAAGCGAACGCGTGACTGAATGAGTGGCAGATATCCGAAGACGTGTTGAAGGCGTTCGAAACAGAGCTTCCGCTGAGACCACTGCAGCCACGAAGACGTCGTGTTTGTCGTGCGCTTCCGTTGCGTCACTTTCAGCGCTCCTGCGGGCGAGACGGGGGTAAGAGGTGGGTGTAAGGGGGGCGGGGGAGGCTTACCTTCGCGCGTCACGTGACTGACCAGAAATGCTGCGAAAGAAAAGACTTTTTGAGAGTTTTGTTTCGTTTGGTTTCTCGACTCACAGAAAGCAAAGTCCGCGCACTCGGAGTCCGAATCGAGCGCGAGTTGGGGATCGAGTGTCGAGTAGAAGCTCGAGAAGAGATCGTTGAAAGCTCTGTCGAGGGATTGAGCGGAAGTGAGAGGGAAATGGAGCGCAAGTGGTCTTACTTGTGGTGAAAGGCGGAGTCGGAGAGAACGAGAGAGTACTGATTGGTCCATTTGGAGGAGTACTCGAATTGGCGCTTCTGGTCGTCGAAGAAGTGGTCGCGCGACGAGAAGCCGACGACTCGGCGCGGGAAAGCCGTCCACACGGAGAAGCCGAAGTCGAACTAAAGAGAGAGAGGTGTGAGAAGAGTTGGAATTTCGGGTGTTTTGAGACCTCTTTGGCGGAGAGCAGAGAATGCGGCGACAATTGAAGGACGCAATCGGTCTTCAAGGTCGTCGAGTCGACCAATCGGAAGCGTGCGGACGCGTTGGAGCGCACAACGCGCACAAATGGCGTCTCCACGAGATGCGCCGGAAGTGCGAGACTTTGCGGCCAAACGACGACCGCTTCCGCCGCGAATCGCGAGCCCCGAAGCGCGCGACCAATGAGACGCTGGAGATTGGGAGTGACGTCAGAGGCTGTGGTCACGTGGACTACGGCAGTGAAGGCGCGGTCATTGACCTCTTCGGCCATCAGAAGAGCGTTGAGTCGCGGGTCGCGAACGCCGAGCTGTGATTGGGTGACGACGGCGGCCGATGGGGGCGCGCGGAGGTTCCAGACGAAGTGTTGGAGCGCGAGATGCGGTCTCAGGCGCTGTTCAATGACCAGAAGTGACGTCAGAACTATGCGTTCGACGGAAGAGAAGTACGTCTCGTAGAGAGCGAGACATTTGGCGCGCATTTCGGCGATCTTTTGGCGCGGGATTTGACGCAAGGTTTCCGTTGTTTGGAGTAAAAGGCGTTCGTCGGCGACGACTGCGCATTGCGTCCAATCGATGAGTTCGTGGAACGGGAGCAGCCATTGGTTGGCCAACACGACGGGAATGCACCCGAATTGGAGCGCCTCGAGGAAGCGGTAGGACCCGAGACGGCGTCCGCGCGGAACCAAACAGAACGTCGCGTTAGCCATCAGCTGCTGGTAGTCGTGACTAAGGAGAGAGACGACGGTTAGGACGACGGAGAGGACGACACTCTGTCGTACCTGTCGTACAGCGCGTCGTCCGTCTCGCACTTGTCGTCCTTGAGGTCGCGCCACTTCTTCCCGTGACGACACGTCGTGAGGATAATGACGTCATTGCCGTTGTGCAGGAAGTGGAGCGCGTTTCGCGTCTCGGAGCCGATGCCATACGTATAGCGCTTCCCTTTGAACACCAAAAGGTATTTCTCGCGCTTCCGGCGGTCGGCGCTCTTCGCGGCCGTCTGTGGGCGGAGTCGTGAGAAGGCTTACGGAGAAGGCTGCGATTGGCTTACGGTTCGGGTGTTGGAGTCCAATGGCAGGCGAGTGTTGGGCGAGAAGGCGGGGCCTCGGGTCGGATGGTTGCGCGCAAACAATGGGAGCGAGACGTCGAAATCGGGACGATATGATTGGCGCGATTGCGAGGCCTTTACGAGAATCGCTGCAAAGAGATTGGATGAGAGACGCGATGACGTCAGAGACGGAGACAAACCGTTTTCGAGGAGAGCGGCGATTGGGCCGTAATTGTGGCCGAAAGAGAAGTCGAGTTCACGGTATTGCGGCCACGAACCCGAGTACAGGTTGAAGAGGAGGTGATTGCGGCCGCCGAAGAGCGGCGTGAATGACGTCATCGCCGGCGAGGGTTTCTAAGGGAAAGCGTTAGAGGAAAGGCTTTGTTTGGCAAACGCGGTCTTCACCTGGAAGTCCTGAGAGAGCGGATCCCTGTCGACAGTGTCCCAGACGGTGGTCACGAAGAGACACGCTGTGGAGGAATGCGAGCATTAGTGGCGCGAAAGACACGAGTCTTCAGACCTTTGTTTGGATCGCTTTCGAAGTATTTCGAGGTTTTGATGATTTCGACGATTTTGGCGAAACTCGGACTCAATTTGTGGCCGAAATCGGGGTATAAATGGATTTTGAGGCCGTTTTGCGGCGAATCGCGACAACGCGTGAAGTCGAAGCACGAACTCATCCGACACTCGCTTCCGGTCCTCCGATTGGGCGCCGATTCGGCGGCTTTTCGGCCGAAAGTGCGGTCGAAGTCGTAGTAATGGTTGTCGTGTGCGAGGAGTGTGTCGTTCGTGGCGTCGTCTGTGGTGTCGTCCGTCCGTCGCATGCGATTGACGCCGAAGTGAATGAACGCCAGAAAGGCGACGAAAAGCAAAAGAAAGCGTTTTCGGGCTTTCATTGCGTTTTTAAACCTTTATTTACATTCAAATCATTTCAAAACATTGCGATCAATGCAACACTTCTGACGCCATCTGACGGTCAATGAAAAGAGCGTTGAAATGAAAATCAATTTTATTTCGGAATCAAAAGTAAAGAAACAAAAGGATTGTCACAAAAGGGACCGAAAATCCGGAGAAAAGAAGAGAAACATTGAATTCGTTTTAATTTTAAGAGTTTTTCGATTTTTTTGCGTATTTTTCGGGATTTCTTCGTCAAAATTCACTCCTTCTTGATCTGCGCCGCGATTTCCTTCGCGTGATGCGCCTGAAGGACGGCCACCGCTTCGTCCACTTTGGCCTTCAGAGAGGCGTTGTGTTCCAACATATGGAGCAGTTCCGAGTTGTCGATCTCTAGAAGCATTCCTGTGATCTTTCCCGCCATCTCCTGATGCATCGAATGGATGACCGGAAAGAGACGCTCGCCTGCAATGAGAGGGACGACAGAGGGTTAGCAGTGGACGACAGACACGACGATGCGTGACGTCATGACGACCGCCAGTCAGACGGAAAAAGGACATCAAAGGGTCAGACATATGCTTGTCTTTGCTCATCACTCGGCGGTCGTCATGACAATCGTTATGAACGGATTGTAGACGAAGACAAGGACTCCGCTGCGAAGCCGGTTTTCCGACCGGCAGTCGCCGACAACAGGCCGCTGACAGTCCGGAAGCCTTCGGCTGACAACCTTGTGAACGCCGACAAAAACGATGCCGACAAAGCCAACCATAACAACGCCTGGCGGCCGCGCGCCGACAACTCCTGCGCCTGGCGCTCACCCTGGGCGAGGGCCCCCTTACCGCGGGGGCGCAGGCGGGCGAGGGTAGACAGGCGCGCCGGGCCCGCCCTGGACGCCCCCGCGACCCAGGTTCTGCGCGCGATATCCGCCATAAGCTCCTCCAGGCTGACCTCCGGCGCGAACGCCTCCCGCCTGCTGTTGACTCCAACGCGGACGCATTCCCGGCTGTCCGCCCGCCTGGCCCTGGGGGGCGCCTCCTTGCGGCCCCTGGTAGTAGGGGCGCGGCTGCATTTGGTGCGCGTGAGGCATTGTTGGGATGAAGTATCCTGGCTGAGGGCCGCCCGCGTGAGCGCCTGCAAGTCATGTGATAGAGTTAGTGATGTGATCAGAGGTGACGTCACCTCAACTCATACCCTGTTGTTGTTGAGCCTGAAGTCCAGTGAGAAGCGCGCCCTGTGCGTTCGCGAGGAACGCCGCTGGGTTCATTTGCGGCGTGTGGTGGTGGTGCGGGTGGTGGTGATGGGCTCCCGGAGCCGCCGGCGCCGGCAGTGTCTGGACGCGCATTCCACCGCCCGAGCGCTGCACGTGTTGCGACAGGAGATGCATTCGGCGCTCGTCCTTGCGTTGCGCGAGCGCCACATACAGGGGCTTCGTGACGACGATGCGGTTATTCATTTCGGTGACGGCTTTCGTCGCCTCTTCGGGAGTCGAGAAACACACGAAACCAAAGCCTTTCGACCGAAGCGTGGAATCCGTCATCACTTTCGCCGACGTTATGGTTCCGAAGGGCGCGAACTCTTTGCGCAGGCGCTCGTCGTCGATCTGGTCGTCGAGGTTCTTGACGTACAGATTGACGCCTTGATAGCGGTTCAGACGTTCGATCTTCAACTGCTCGAACTTCCGGCGCAACTCCGCCTGACGCTCGGCCTTCTTCTGTGCTCTGCCCACAAACAAAGTCTTCCCGTTCGACAGCTCTTTGCCGTTGAGGTCGTCGCACGCCTTCTCCGCCATTTCCGGCTCTTCGAAAGACACGAATCCGAAGCCCTTACTCTTCCCGCTGTCGTCGGGAACCACTTTCGCCGAAGAGATCTCTCCGTAGGGCTCGAAAAGCGCGCGCAACTTCTCGTCCGAGTCGTACTCTTCCGACAGGTTCTTCACGTAGACGTTTGTGAAGAGACGCA